ATCGCTGCCTTTTAGATGTGTGTGCAGGCAGCTCCGGGGTGTGACTGAACGTGTCGTAGGCACAGAGACTCTGAGCTGCCAGAGGTTCTGAGCCAAACTTCACTTCAAACTTGACTGGTTATGAAACCCACTGAATCAGAGTCCTTATAGTCCTTACAGCAGGCCTACACACACAGCAGCACCCAATACTAATCCATATGGGTACTATAGCCATGCACACACACACACACACACACACACAAACACACACACACACGCACACTTACGTCTTTTCTGGTCCTGAAATAGCTCTCAGCCTCCCACTCTCCCTTATATAAGCTCCCAGCACGGAGATCTGCTGGTGAAGACTGGGGTGTGTGCAAGTGTGTGTGTGTTAGTGCATGTGCCTGTTTGTGTGTGTGCACATGTGCGCCTCTGTCTGTGTGAGTGCCAGTGTGTGGGCAGTAGGAGTGTCTTGATTCTTGTGTGTAAGTATATGTGAGTGTGTGGAAACATTTGTATGTGTTTCTGTCAGTGGGTTTCTGCTGGTTATACAGTGTGCAGCAAATTAGAAAACAATTTCTTGATGGAAGAATGAAAGTTTTTATTTAACAATCTCTTTTTTGTAGTCTTAGCTATTGTCTGTTATGATGCCGAGATTTTGAGCTATCACCACAATGAAGTCTGTCAGGGCAAGTAGGCCATTCAGTTAAAAAATTAATCATACGTTCATTATAATTGTCCATTACATTTAAAAACTACAGCAAATTCCTCTGATCAAAATCAGAACTCTGTATTGAAAGTGTAATTTTGCATAATGTTTTTTATTGTAGGCTATTATAAACAGTGTATTTTTGCGGCACATACTTTGCATGCGTGGAGTACAAAAATGAATTTAAAATGAATGTTTTTATGTTACAGCTTGCAAAAACAGAAAAGAATTGTCCATAATTATATGCTGTCTCTAAATGCTTGTGTTGCTTATCCTAATAGACATACAGTGAGTTGCAATAGTGAGAGTCAGTCTCTGCAAGTATTAATGTAAAAAAGAAATTCATAGGAGGAATCTCTGCACCAAAACTGCCATAAACAGGCGGTACCCGACTGTCGATGGTAGTGTATGTTTACCCCGCTCATCTAACTTTCTGTGTGTAAATTCAACAGGAAGATCCTGAACTAAATCCATCTGAGACATAACCTCCCACCTCTGCTGTGGAAGCTCCTCAAAGTCTCTGTCTCATCTCACTGAGGTGCAAAACACAGAGAACCTTAACTGCTCTTTTGTGCTGACAACCATAAAACGATGCAATGCTTCCCCAGTGTTTACTGAAGCAGAGCGCCTGCTACGTTTATGTGAACAATACTGGATTGTTCTCTGGACTAAACAGCATTTGCACTGTTTATGCTCTGTAAATGCAAAATCCGGTTTCACATTTGTCCTTAATTGTGATCCCACGATGATAGATGTGAAGACAACAATCATGTGTCTTTTCCATGCATTCGTCTTTTGATGTAGAGCATATTTTTGTATCAAACTATTTATTCATTTTGGATATTTGCCCGAAAACATGTGGCGCTGGCACTGACTAACAGTATCAGGTACAAACTCACAGTGTCATGGCAACATGAGTCTCTGCACGTGTCTTTATGCATTAAAGTGTGAGTGTGTAGGAGGCTGCAGGCAGATAAAGTGGGCTTTGTAAAAGTATCACATATGCGATGTATTATATTTGTGTGTAAGGCAGTGTGGAGGTTACAGGGTCATACAGTGACATTGGCAGAAAGCTCTATCTTCTTGTATCTTAAAATGTACATCAATATTTTCCTATATTTGCAAGTGCGTGGGCACGTGTTAAGGCAAACTGCTATATGGCTGGTTAGCAGTGTTTGTTTTTATGACTTCATGCAGACTCTAATGACATTAAATATCAATCAATATTTAATCAATCACAAGAGGTGATTTGAAGACAATTCATTGTTCTTGTGTGTTTTTGGAAAATAATGTAGTCGAAATAGTGGATTCTCTGACAATTGTGGTAATCTAAAAATCATTTATCAAGCAAAAACAGCAAACATTCTCTTGTTCCAGCTTTCCATAAGGATTTTCTTCCTTCCTCCATTGGATGTCTTTGGGTTTGGCACCGTTGGTCGAACAGAACGAGCAAGTTCAAGACATCAGCTTGAGATCTGGGAAATTGTAATGTGATTTTTTCATCATTTTATTACATTTTATTGAATTAATGATTAACCAATGAATCAAAGACATATCATCATATAAAGGGTCAGAATACATTATTTCTTAATTACCTCTAGTAGTATTTAATCATGCAGAGTTTGCTGGTTAGTTTTAATTTTATTTGTTCAAGTTTGGAGATATTTGTCTCTGCCACTACAATACAGTGGAGGTGACTGGAATTTAATCTGTCCTTCTTACAGCACTCAAAAATGACAATTTGAAAATTCAACAGCAATATCTCTTTCAAGAAAATGTGGAATGATGATATTTTAAAATCCAATTTTGGACTTGGTAAATCTAAATTATGAGATCGCAATAGTGGTCGCTGACTTGTGATTTTGACATAAAAAGTCAACAATAGTATTTTTATTTTATCATTCCTAACCTTTCATCCGATTTGTCCTTTTTCTGGCAGAAATTGGCTTCTATAAGAAATAATGTCTCTGTTAGTCTGCAAAATTGGCTCTGTGAATCATCAGGACTACTTTCTACAAAACAAAATAGTTCCAATGAAAGCTGCAGTCTGACTAATCATTAGTTACATCCTTGCAAAAGATGGATAAATACATTAGGAAACTTGTTTTTTGTTTTTTTTGCCACAGACTTCCCTGTGATATCAGTGAGGATGCATTATTATGAGCATTTTATTGTACTTATATTTCTGTGCTGTCAGCTGCTCTGCAACCACTCAGCGGCATGTTTAACTGAGATTGCTTTACAGAAAGCAGGACTGGATTTGAATCCACTGCTTATTATTAAACACCACACGCAGGGGCAGATATTACAGACATTTGCAGGGTCGTGTCCTTAAATGTCCTTATTTGCCTCTTGATCCTCTGAATCATTACACACATGCTCACACTCTAAACCATGTTCTCTTGTTTACTGGACTCTTCAGGCACCAAAACGGCCAATATCAGATTTTGCATTTGGAGGCAGAGACACGTTACTGCTTTCTGCCTGTTTGTCATTGACTGTTAGTGACTGAATATTGTTCCAATATTCAATTAATGAATCTACACTCTCGCCCACTCTCCTCTTTCTTCTGTAGTTGTCTTTGTCAACATAAAAAAATCTAATTCCAATTGTGTATTTTTAACCCAGTACATATTTTTTGGGTTGTTTTTCATGGTTTGAGCTGGGCCTCATAATTCTAATGAAGGACAATCATACAGCATACAATGTGATTCTTCTCAACAAAAGTGTGCTTCCAACTTTGTGTGAACAGTTTGGAGAAGGCCCTTTCAAATTTCAGCATAACAATTTGTAGTGGTTGGCGATACCACAAATTTTGGTTTCAATTCAACACCAAGTAACACCAGTGCCTGAATGAATAGCATTAATTTCAATTCTGATATGTGTTATAATTTAAAGTGTCTTATGTTTTATTATGTAGTGGAGAGCCATGTGTCATGAATTATTAAGAGGGGAAAGCATCGCTAATATGCTACTTCTAAATGCATTTCCATTATGGATGCATGATAATTATCGGGACAGATGAATTATCGACCTGTAATGGGAAATGTATATTATTCTAAATTATCTGAACAATTAAATTAGAGCAGTTCAGTTAATATTCATAATAATTTATTTTACATTATTATGCAAAACGATTGATAGGCATTATGTTCTTTGAAAGCCAAAGTATGTATTTAATGAGCTTCTTAGTACTTAGTAGTTGAACATTTAAAGAATCAGAGAATTCTGTTTGTTGTTGTTGTGTTAACAGTAGTGATAGGTTAGCTCAGAGCTATGGAATATTAAATCATCCATATTTTCTCGCTACATCTGCACCCTCAGGTAAACACTACATGTGATGAACATCCTTTTAGAATACAGAAATTTGAAGTTATCAGTTATCTTATCAGTATCGGCCATGAGAAGCAGGTCATTTTTTGTTATTGTTTCGCCTGAAAATATATGGTGCATATTAATTTTCACTACCACCAAATTATTAGGTAAAGATCCCATTGATAGTATCAGTACCCAAAACCTGAATTAGTATCAGTAGTACCAGAGAGAACCTAAAGAGAGGAAGCCCATTTCCCAGTTTGGTGTGGAAGATTTTCACTGGCTTGCACAGAGCCCTGACCTCAACACCAATGCTGACTGCAAGCCAGGCCTTATCGTCCAATATCGGTGCCAAATCTCACTAATGCTGACCAAGAGCAAATCCCTGCAGCCAGATTCCAAAATCTAATGGAGCCAGAAGAGTGGAGGCTGTTATAGCAGCAGATTAATGCCCATGGTTTAGAGAATCAGAGGGTGTAATGTTTGGTGTCCACATACTTTTGACAATGTAGTGTATATTCAAAAGTGGCCTCATTTGACCGAAATCCTGGTTTGGTTTGATTCACCCTCCACTAAATCACCCACTCTCTTTCCCTTTTCTCCCACTGGCTCTTTATTCTCTCTTTCTTCCCTCCTTCCTCTTCTTCTCTTTTCATTTCTCTCCATCTCTCCCACTCTCTTTCTTTCTTTCTTTCTTTCTACCTCTCCCTGTCGCTCCTGCTCTCCCTCTCTTATCCCTCCCCCATCTGTGGGAAGCTGCCGTTGTGCGCATGTCGCCGATGAGTCAATTTGTGGAGGCAGTGCACGCACGCACACACACACGCACACACACACTCACACTCACACACACACACGTATCCTGTCTCCCACGAAGGCATCTGTTTCAGTCTGTCTCTCTGTGAGATGCAGCACCAACAGAGGAGAGAGGGGGAGACAAAAAGGCAGGCAGAAGAGAGGAGGGAGGGATAAGAAAAGAGAGGAGAGAGGAAGGAGATACAGAGCAGAGAGAAATAGGAGAGAGAAGACTGAAATTAAGTGAACAGAGAGAAAGGGAAGACAAGTGCAGCAAAGACAGGGCAAAACCTGAGGAGGAGAGGATGCTGCTGCATCTGAGCGTCTCTGCCTGACTTCTGAGGAGTTTGGGCTCGGACATGACAGAGATGCAGCATCCAAGTGTCTGAGTCTGAGCATCTCCAGTTTGTGTGTGTGAGAGTGTGTTAATGTGTGTGAAGCCATGGCGAGCGCTCAGCCAGGGGTCCATGCATTGAAACTCCAGCCTCCCTCTGTGTCTCACACACTGAGGAACGGAAGCAACTTCATTAAATGGGACGAGGTAAGGAGACTCATTTTCCTTTAGTATTTAAGCCAAAGATTTTTTTTTATTATTTTTAGCTTTTTAAAATTATGTAATTTTTCGGGTTTACTTTTGTGATATATACATATATTTAGTCAGAGTCAGAATCTTGTCATTATTATGCCCAGTTTAATCAAATCCATTTCAGTTGAATTGGAGTGAGAGTAAAGGAGGAGGAAGAGGAGGAAATGTGCCATGTTGTCAGATGTGTTTACTATTCATTTGTTGAATGAGCTTTGGCAGTAAGTACCTGTGGATTAGACACCAGCAAAATAGAGAGGAGTGTGTGTGTGTGTGTGTGTGTGTGTGTGTGTGAGTGAAATGCTATTGTCGTCAGTTTCTTTTTTGCCACCTGTTGGTATGAAATCCATTACTATGCATTTACTGTTCTGCTAGTGTGCATTTGAATGTGTATACAACGCATACATGCAGAAATTTTCCAATGCTGCCACGTGCACAGTCAAACATATAATTGTAGGCATTTGTGGAAATGTGTGTGTTTATGTGCATAAGGGTGTGTGTGTGGTGTGTGTGTGTGTGTGTGTGTGTGCTGGTATGCTGGTATGCTGAAGTACGGGCACTGACTATGAGAAACGTGCTGTCCGGTTGCCATGGTAACTGGCATGGTTACCACCACCTAAACCGATCTGATGTGTGCAAGAAAGAATACATGTTTGTTTGGTTGTGTGTGTGTGTGTGTGTGTGTGTGTCTGTGTGTGTGTATATCAATGTATTGAGCCATACGATATCATGAATCCTACTCATGGTAGAGCTAATCAAATATACTGTTGAATCCATTCACCATGATTGAACCTTGTGTGTGTGTGTGTGTGTGTGTTTTTTGATATTTGAATTTCTCCAACATGTAGAGCTGAGCTTTATGAAAAATAGAATTGGTTGCTATGCCAACGAGTGACAACCAGGAATCTAGTTAACCATCTTCTGAGCTTTTTCTTCTAGTTTTGCTTCTTTTGAATGTAGGCTGCACTGTTGTGAGGAAAGCAGCTCAGACAGCAGAATATTTGACCTTTTCCAACCACATGCAAAGAAATATACACAACTTTATAAGCACCGACATGTATACAAATATCTTAGCGGACTGTGTCCCACAAGAGATCCAGGATGCCAGGGATAAAAACTCAACTAAATCTGGTCACTTTACCTTATGTTAAATGTGCACCTTTTGTGCTTTACACAGTCTGTGACCTTTTGATTTCTAAATAATCACAATACAGTTCATTGTTAACTCCAGAGTATAGAAACAGCATTTTACATGGAAGGACATGGTCTTTCTGCATTTGTCCCCTCCAGTTGGTTGTTTGTTCCAACAACAAATTTAATGTTCATGTTCAGTTCCAAAATCAGGAAGTAGATTCTTATTGCTTACCGTTAAAAATGTGGAGGTCGCAGGTATTCACCTTCGACAGTGGAGACCCGGGCTCGCATCCTGTCTTTCTTCAGTAGTCAGCATTGCTTTCTGTTAATTATGACAATCTTGACATTACCTTAACTACACCTCAGCAGTTATTAATTTGTCATGATAAAGTTTCCATAACCGTAATCAGTTTTTGTCATTTAGATATGAAGTCTTAATGTGTTTAATTTAAATGTAGTATCATTGTATCAGTCCATATGCTGGAGCGTAATTAATCTGAGGCTGAGTAGTGAAACAACTCAAAAAATAGGACCTCTGATGCTTCATCACCGTTGAATATGTGGAACGTTTCAGATATCAGTACGCAGCACTCTTTTCAGCATTAATCCCATTTTTATTTGCTTTATTCTGTGTGTCTGTCTCCTTCCTGGGGCCCGTTCTATAGTGTAATGTTTATTGTGATTGCAGTATTGATTCTACAGCTACAGCAAGTTTCTGAATTTAGTTATATTTGATCTATTGCATGATGCCTTGTTGACTCTTAATCTTTGACTCTAGACATCTCATTTTGAACCATCTGAAAGCTGGAAGCCATTTGATTCTGAATAAAATGTTAATAGTTTCCACTCGTATTAAGGAAATTAAGCCACTTCTATACAACCTCCATTGAAACCACTGAAAGAGAACATTGGTTTAAATGTATGTAGTTGAATTCTGTTAAAACATGCATCTTTGCTAAACTGTGTGTGTGTGTGTGTGTGTGTGTGTGTGTATTTGTTGTTTAAAATTGCCATAACCACATTCATTCTTGCCTTCTTGTCATCACTTCACTGTGAATCCAATTTGGCTGCAAGCTTAAAGCAACTCCCCTTATTGACTGTCATATTCGCTGCCAAGATTTGGATGAAATAATTTTAGGAATCGCACAGCTTATACTAGATTTAATAATAATAACTTGTACAAAGACTTTTCAAACAGCAAAACATCAGGACAGCTGCACTGCCTGATTCCACCTGCAACCAATTACAAACTGTCATGGTGGGTTACTATGGCAACTGAGACAATAGTTGGATGTCATGACAACGAAGCAAACTTTAGTCTGTAAAATGTAAGAGTTACACAGTGTCAGAATAGGCCCATTGTTCACTCACTCAATGCTCCCTGTTTGATGAGCACATTAAAGTTGACTCTGGTGTGAGCAGGAAAATGAGATTCTGGACATTTATGAATCATCATTGTTCACCACCACTGACAGGTGTAGCGTTGCACAATAGTCATTTCTACTAAAATGACAGCAACAAGTGAACAGTGATGAAGTATTACTTTCTTTGGGCACTCGTGCTTTTGTCATATTGTGGGGATTTTTGAGTGCATTATGTAGTGCAGAAAATGTTCGCTATTTGAGAGCTGTTTTAGATTAGATAGATTTTTTAATGTTTTTTCAGACTGCTTTCACTGGTTACACCTGTCTTTCTTCTTTAGGATCTGTCTACAGTAACTCCAGTGACTCTACACGTTGATTCACATGGATTTTACCTCTACTGGACCGACCAAAACAAGGTTGAGCGCATATGCTGGCCTGAATCGCCTCTAGGCCTATATTGTTTATTAGGCAGAAGATGATGAACAAATGTAGCCTCATGCTAAAAAAACCTCATCAATATTCATTCTTTTATTGGGTCACAGTTCTGACTTACATATTACTAATTACTAATCTGCTAACATTACATATTAGTTGAAATATTTATTTTACTTATACCCTCTTATTTCATATAGCCTACTCTATTTTGAATGTGAATAGGCCAAATATTCTCAAATGTTCCTGTAGTGGCATAATAATTCAGATCTTTTAATAAAAGTGCTAATACTCGGTGTAAAAAAACTCCCACATTGAAAGTGTTACACAAGTAAAAGTCTGTAAGTATAATCAGGAAAATGGAAGATAATTAATAAGTACAATATTTCCCTCTGATATTTAGACTTGAGTACATGTACTTTGATGAACATTTCACCACTGCCGTTTTGATATTTAAACTAATTACATATTAGTTGAAATATACCAGAGCCATGGTCATTAGTTCCTTCCAACAGTTGTAGCACTGTTATGCTAATGCTAACTCTCACTGGTGAAACGGAGCTAACCATGGATTGTCTGACTACAAACAACCTTTAAAAATGGACGTGCTTCTCTTTTTTGTTCCTGTGGTAAGTGGCTCTGGAAAAAAATGCTCTAATGCAACACAGGATACCCTGATATAGAGTAAGTAACAGCAGGACAGTGCAGGTCACAATGCCAACATCCTTCTCTTATACAATGTCAGCTTTTTATGTACGAGTATTATTCCTTACACGATTAATCGAGTGAATTGTTACTGAGAAAGCAGTTTCACACATCAGACTTGATAATTATTTTCAGGACATTTGTTTATTTTTGGGACATTTGACTTAAATTATAAATATACAAGAACTATAGCACAATGAAAGACAGCAGGGACAACTGATGAGGAACTGCAAAGAGCAAGCATATAGACAACATGTGATCACTGATTGTCATAAACAAGCACACACACACACACACACACACACACACTTTCTCTCTGGGTGGGCTTAAATCCTTAGCAGGAAACAGGATGAAGCATTTACCTTCCAGATACCAGCTGACTGTGTGTGTGTGTGTGTGTTTGTGTGTGTTTTCTTTAGGAGACAGAGTTGTTAGACCTGACCCTCGTAAAAGATGTCAGAACGGGGAGAAGCACCAAAACACCCAAGGTACTTTATATTTCGCCCTTTATGTGTCAGGTATCTCATGTTTGCACCTCGCCCCTTAGAGAACTCTTTGCTCCTGCATCTATGTGACCTCTCTGTGACCTTTCACCCAATGGTTGCTACCCTTACATCGAACAGCCGCCGTTCTAATTGTTGTTGTCGGCTGTGAGATGTTCTACTTTTATTTCTATTTTTCTACTATCATGTTGTGTTTAATGCGTTTATGTCCTGTCATTGTGTTTTGTCTTCCTACTTCTGGAAACCTATTTGTGTATGTTGCTTGAAAAATGCTATATCAGTGACAAAGAATATATATTATATAATCCAGAATATATATTATATAATCCATTCATCCACCACTTTTTGTCACCCAGAAATTAATGTTCATATTTTAACATAAGCTCCTTAAAAGCTGGGGCATTCCTGGGGCAAGTCTCTGCAGTTTGGGTAGAGGAGGGAATTAACCTTTATTGTGATCACACTCAAATAAAGACTACATTAAGAAAACTTGAAGGTCAAACAGGAAACTGCAATGGATTATATGTGTGTACACATTTTATTCAGTTTTGAAGAAATTGAATTTGTTGAAATTTGGTCCATTAATAAGAGTGATATATGAAGGCAGGCTCAGAATAAGACTAATTTATGACTAATTTAACACTATATTTTTATTTTTTGTGATGATGTCTGGTCCATTAATTATGTTACACTGATCAAATGTGCCTGAGATTTTTTTTTGTACAATCATGACTAAATAAATATTGTGTATTGAGCATAATGGATGGGGCAGGGCCAATCGTACGTGCACTCCAAAGCCCAACACATTGGCAGTTTGCAGGGGATCTGTAGAGTTTCCGCATGAACTGGCACATGCCACTTGTGCCAACTTGAACTGACAGCTTCGACAGCCAAGAAACAAAATACCATCTACCATTTTTATGGTAAACAGCGTATCTTTTAGTTGCCTTCTCCTGCCTGAGTTCAAATAGAAAAAATCAATGTACTGTCTTTGCCAACAAGCTGTCAAGTTAAAGTTTGGCCCATGTGATAGTTACACAGATACTAAGCAGTTTAAGAGGTTTTGTATGTTGAACCACCAGATATTTTACAGGTTTTTAGGAGTTTAGAATAAGAAGCATTACCACAGCTGGTACCACACCATTGCCACTTCATAACATGCCGTACACTGGCATGGCCTGTTACAAATATATAATTTCACATTGGATGTAAACTTTGATAATCTGTGGGACATACTGTATAACACTCACCACCATAAGAGCAGGACAATTTATCAATAAGCAGATGCTTATTTTTGATAAATGAGAAGCCCTCGCCTCATCCGTCTCCTCTGTGCTGCTCCAGCGTGGCTCTGTTTCAGCTGACAGCTTTTGGTCTGTGTCGTCCAATAGGAGGCCAAGCTGCGGGAGCTGCTCGATGTGGGAAACCTGGTTGGCCGGCTTGAGAACCGCATGGTTACCGTGGTTACGGCTTCAGACCTTGTAAACGTCAACCAGCTCAACTTCATTGCTTCACAGGAGGACGAAGCTAAGGTACTGAACTCACTACAGTGATAATATTAGGGACTGAGCTGATGGTGATGATGATGATGATGATGATGATGATGATGATGATGATGTTGGAGTATCTGATTTCGGTAGGAATGGTGTGAGGAACTGTTTTCCCTGTCTTCCAACCTGCTGAGCAACAATCTTAACAGAGACCACGCTCTGTTGAAAGCGTGAGTGTACACACACACACACACACACTCACACACAATATAATATGCAGAAACGCATGTCTTTCTTATTGTCGACAAATCCCAGGAAGACCAAAACCATTCTGCTAACAAATATTGTGTGATTGTGTGTTTCCAAAGCCTGGTGTATTTTATTCCTTCAGAGTTCCACTGTTGTCCAGAATGTATTAAAACCACCTCAGTGAGCCACACTGTTGCACTGACTGATATGATCTCTTATTACCATGAACACACACACTGCAGTTTATTTTGAGCCCACCTACACCATCCTGCTGCCATAAATACTCACCAGAGCATCAGATGTGTGGTAATCCGCCGCTGAAAATAGTCCCCACCAAATGCGCTATTTTCGTATTTCGTATTTACCGTATGTTACTACTTTGGTAAAATCAGCATTTTGCTAAATTAGATTGACTATTTTCACTTTTTTTTTTTTTCACTACATTATGTATGTAGTTCTGTTTCAGATCTGTGTCTCTGTGATCTGAATAATTCAGATCTGTTTGTTACCTCCATCCAAAAATAAAATAACCAATACTAAGTACAAATATTTCTTCAGATGTCTATAAAAGACATTATTCAGTGTTTTTGCAACAAGGACACCCCACAGACCTCCATTTTATAAAGGGAGAGTTTCTGCTCAAGACTTCCAATGTCGATGAAATGATAATTATTCTCATATTATTCAATTGAAATTCAAAAAAATATTCACTGTTACCAGAATATCAAATTCTTCCTCATTTTGCTCGGTAATCGACTTGTGTGCACTTTGTGATATACAGCTCTGAACCTTCTTACTCTCTTTGTTTCAGGTACGTCAGGTTAACTCTCCAGCCGAACGCAGAGGGCAGAATTCCTGTCAAGAAGTGAGTTCCTGCTTCTTATTACCATCCTAATATTTAATCAATGGTTCTGTCTGCGTGTTAACTTTGAGGCACGTGTTACTGTAGATGGTTGAGGATGTGAGAAAATAGCCCGACGAAATCTGCAGAGACATGCACAAACTCAAACTTTGCTCTTTCCTGTCCCTTGCTTCCAAAAATACACTTAATTCCATGTGCACTTGGGAAAGCAAAAACAGGGACAGGATTCATGAAGGTGCTTAATTCAGCACTGACCTGGTAATCAACCACTGCCAGAGCATGAGATGGATTATACAGTTATGAAGGAAAGCTGTATTTCAGAAGCAAACCTTGAGCAGAATTAAGGTCAGTTGATATATCTTGGAAGTAAAGGAGGGAAGAGGGGAAGTTTTAAGGAAAGAAAGGTTTAGGCAATGTTAACTCAGGACAATTCACACTGTTACCATAACCAGGAGGTTTGGGATAGGTAAGGGGATATTTTGGGATCGTGATAAAGTACGTTTCAAGTTTGAGGAGTTAGAGGAGGACATTTGGGGGAGTTAATTAGAGGGAGCGAGACTGGAGGAGATATTTTAAGGAGTTAAACTGTAGGTTTTGGTTTGGTGACATGTTGTGGTTAAGGTTGAGCTGATAATGTTGTGTGATTTCATTGTCTATTGCAGCATTGTTCGACTGTTTTCATCAGACAGAAAGAGAGTAGAGAATGCCCTGGAGAACTGCAGACTGCCCTACAGCCGGGTAAACAGAAACAAATAAAGTTTGTATTATTATTAGTGGCAGTAAACTGTAGATATACATGAGAGTTTATAGCTTAACCGATTAGAGTATGCCATGGATGCATGCNNNACACACAGTCTTTTTCAACTGTATCCTTCTTCTTTTTTTCATTTTCTGTTTGCTGTTGAGGCTTTTATCTGATGCTTTTTGTCCAGAATGACTCACAGTGCACGGAGGGGTGAAATGAGCTCAAATATCTGGGTCATCAAGTCTTGAAACAACCAGTGACAAGAAAAAAATTTAAGAGTCGAATTCTCTGCTCACACTGAATCTCACATTGGATATTCCTGTGAGCACAGAAAGATCCGTATTAGTGGAGAAGAGTCTGGGAAATGAAGCAAAGATAAGGAGAAATGGATGATTATTTTTAAGGTTTAAAAAACTTTCTGACAGCAAGTAGAAAGGGGATGCTGGAAGTTGAGACACTGTCTTCGACAAGTTAAAAATATGTGGTTATGTCAATGTCTTGTATATATTCAACAGGGTGACAGTATCAAACTGGAGGACTTTACACTAGAAGTTTACAAGAGCTTTTTGGACTTTCTGTGTCCTCGTCCTGAGCTTAACAACATCTTCAAACAGCAGTAAGTATTCAGAAAACCCTTCACCTTATTTGAGCTCAGCTTTATTGCTTGTTAATGCTGAACAAGCTACAAAATAAGCTTTTTTTAAATGTGTTATTTCCCTTAGGCCAATTTTTTTGGTATGTGAAGAATGATGAATAATGATTCATCATCTGTCCCACTTGTACACAGTGTCAGATTTAAGAGAGAGGCTGTATCTTTACCTTGAACAGTATTAACTCGCTTATCCTCATTAAATTCAACGTCAGGCTGCAAGTACAATGGTAATTAGTATCAATATTGATTAATCAATCGATTCTTTTCAATTCATCAGTCTATAAAAGGTTGTAAAATGCAGACAAATACCCATGACAGACACAGAGGTAATTTTTAATCTTCCACTTAATCATTTTGTTTGAACAACAGTAAGAAAACACAAAGGAATTCAGTTTATGATTATGTGAAATAGAAAAAAGCTAATTAATAATTGCAGCAACTGATTGTTTCAGCTGTAATTCAGTTTTCCTCAAGGGCGATGAAATAGGTCTGTTTATTTGATAAACAATGTATATCAGCTTTGGAAAAGTTAATTTCCACTAATCTCTGTACATGTAGCTTAATTAAAGACTGCGTCAGTGCTTGTGTGAAGATAGCATGTGAAACATGTGGACATATTGAAGGATAACAAAGGATCATGAGGGATATTTGGAGGATCTGTAGACACAAAACTTCAGCCCTGACCCTGCTCTGTTCTGTAGAGGAGGGGATGATGGGACGCTGTCAGTCGATCAGATGACGGAGTTCATTAACAACAAGCAGAGAGACCCTAGGCTGAATGAAATCCTCTACCCGCCTCTTCGTCCTGTACAGACGAACGCTCTGATGGAGAGGTACCAACATGACCAGGCACAGCTGAAGCAAGGTACACACACACACGCACACAGGGGTCTGGTTCACTGAGGACACTCGCTTCATTGTATATTCATAAATAGCTACTCAGCAGCATTTGTTAGCAAGATCTATTTTTGTATCTGTACATGGACGTGGTACCAAAACACTCTTCTAACCCACGCATATACCCACAGAGAATACAGTAAACTGCTAAAATAAGCATTTAAGGTGCTCACACTTGTGTTGGATGCTATAAAAAGAAAATGTGGCACCTACCTAGAATCCACCACCACATCTTGCACGATTTGCTATCCATCAGATATACTAGATAGATGTATATATATATATATATAGTATATAGTCCAAATGAAGCTGTTATGTTAGTCAGACATTGCTAGAAATGACTTTGCAACAAATGCAGTGCAGGAAATACTTTGTAGTGTTAATGTAGACAATTAAATTGTGTATCAGGACTCACTATATTTAAAAAAAAAAAAAAAACAACCTCCCTTTTGAAATGTTTCCATTAAGCTTGAGTGTCCAGAATAACCACTTCATTGCTCATTTGTGAAAACATGTAGCAAAGCCATAAGTATTGTGATGTTTTTATCCCTACTATGGTTTTATTTGCCTAAATAAAATGTGCTCATATACATTGATTAAGGAAGGCAGTGTTGTCTAGACATTAGGACGTGTTGGGTTTTATTCAGCCTTTGTGTCAACTTTAATAGGCTACATTTTCAGCTCTCAAACATTAGAAAACCAACAAGATGTTAAGAAGAAGGACGCTCTGCGGACTGTAAAATATTTATACCTAAGAAATACCACAAAGATGAATTTGCTCTCTCTGAGACTTTTATGTTTTTTTTTTGATGGAATGAGTTTCTTACTTTTATTTCCTTATAATGTGTCATGTTTGTGTGTGTGCGTGTGTGTGTGTCATGTAGGGGTCATCTCTTTACAGGCATTCTCCACTTATCTGTCCAGTGAAGAGAATGGAGTCATCCCACCGGAGAAACTGGATCAGTCTGAAGACATGAGCTTCCCCCTCTCTCACTACTTCATCAACTCATCACATAATACATACCTGACAGGTACACACACACTGACCATTCTAAAGTTAATTACCAGTAATGGATCCGTTCATTTGCATCAAAAGATTGATGCACTCAATGGCTGTATAATAGTAGGAGGAAAGAGAGCACACGTTTCTATAGAAAACAACAACAAACTCAAGGATTATGTTTGCTGTTGACACCCATCGACGAGTATAAGAACATGAACTGTGGGTAAACAACAGTCTGCACTGATTCTAGTGCTTGTTTATTTATTCACTTCATAGCAGACAAGAAGAGCAGAGAAGGTAAATTACAATGAAGGGCACATATTTGAAATTTCTATTTGTTGTGACTCCAACACCTCCAACATCTCTTAACAAGAAGACAGTTTCAATTCTGTGAACAAAGCAGAATGTCAGGGGAACACAAAGCTCCACTCTGTGAGCCATTATAGTTCTTCAGAGTGGCACTGAACTCAGAAACATCTCAGAAAATCTCCTCACTGCCATTAAACACCTCAAGTGCAGTAGAGTAAAAAAAGGATCTCACTGGTATGTAAATCAGTATCTGACCTGAAAAGGACCCATGACTTTGTTACCAGAAACAGAGATGGGCCTAGAAAGTGAGGTTTCTATTGCATTGTATTCCATTATTCTCTTCACAAGCTTTAATTGAGACATCCAGCATAAAAGGGTCGATCATCGTTGTCAGTGTGGACAAGAGGTAGCTGTATTTTTTAACCTGTCATAATATCTTATTTCGTTTCTTGTCCTCGTGTTTTAGCGGGCCAGCTGGCAGGGAGCTCTTCAGTAGAGATGTATAGACAGGTTCTTCTGGCTGGATGCCGCTGTGTGGAATTAGATGTGTGGAAAGGACGAACTGCTGAGGAGGAACCCGTCATCACACACGGGTTCACTATGACTTCAGAAATCTGTTTTAAGGTGTGTATGCAGTATCACGAGTCCCTTACAGGTAATCTGTAGGCATGTTCATAGTGCAGCTTGACAGAATGTACGTCTGTGTACCAGATTAGCAATTCCATGTCCATTGAACACGTTTTGAAGACCATTTAGGTGAAATTGCTCACATTGTTGTTTCTGTGACTATCTCAAAATGTTGCTGCCAGACTGGCAATAAGAAAGAGTGAATTGAATCAGATGCATTCTCCTCACATTGGTTTCTCAATAGTTTGAGAGCTGATCATAAAATGTTACTTTTTGATGGGCTTTCTGGTGCCAGATGGGGTTATTTCTTGCACGAATTCTCCATCTCTCTTCCCTTATTTCATCTCTTTCCTGTCAATTCTAATAGAGACATAAAATGCCCCAAAATTGTATAATCTCTCTAGAATTAACTGTGTTATATAAATATTTAGCTAACACAAAAACATCTCAGGAATAATCTTACGATTTTTTTTTGTTTTGTTTTTTTTCCAGGAAGTGATTGAAGCTATTGCAGAATGCGCCTTCAAGACCTCACCTTTCCCTGTCATACTGTCCTTTGAAAACCACGTGGACTCGTGAGAATTACTTCCATTATTTATATATTGATTAATGTGTAAATCTATCTATCTATCTAACTATCTATCTATCTATCTATCTATCTATCAGTTTGAGCCACATTAGCTTGTCTGTTGGATCAGACCACACGGGCCAGCCTTCACTCCCCACATACATCAATGAGCCTTGGCTGCCC